AGTATATTAACCTAATTTAAATCTATTGTATAAGAAAGTAATTTACAAAGATTTTATAATGAAATGTGTCTTTTATTAATTTGTTCCAGAATTTTGAACACCTGAATTATTGCCCTTGAGGAAAGATTTTAGGTCACTGAGATGATCAAGGCTCTATCTGCACCTTCTGGTAAAGGGACTTGATTGTCTTATGCCCTGTTGAATAAACTATCTTTTCACTTACCTGATGACACAAAAGTTTACCATTTTATTCCTGGGCTATATCACCATGTACCTACCACTCTTTCACTTTGCAAGATTCCCCAGGTCAGTGCTCCAGAACATTTTACAAGCATGTCTGCATTATATTCTTGTATACTTTTTTCAGTTAGCTTTTCTCCAGCCTGACTATTCTGCTCAGAGACTCTTTGCTAGATTTACAAGAGTTCTGTTATGTATGTTCTGTTCTGTTTTTTTGTATGAACCTTATACATTTTGGCATTACCTCTTTGAATCATTCTGTACGAGATTTCTGTAATTTCTGTCCAACATATAGAAGCGCTGATCTGTATGTAGATGTCTTTGTCTGTATCTTTCACCATGGGTCATTAGTGATAATGGGACTTAATCATTCTGATTGGCATGTGCTGGTCCTAGAAGCTCCTGGAAGCTGAAGTGGCAATGGAACCAACACCCTAAGATTTCAGGCTCAGAGACTCTGCTGTGCTGCTCCCCAGACAAACATTGCACTAGCACACCTGGGTCAAATCCGAGGCAGGGGAGGGAGAGTTGTTCAGTGATATATCACTATATGAAGAACATGTGTAGCTTGCATACAGTAATAAATCCCATATCCTCAGCCTCCACACTGCTGATTGTCAGTGTGAAATCTGTCCCTTACTCAGTGCCAATGAGTACCTGGGATCATAGATGCATTGTTGGAAACAAAAGATATCAGGAGTTTTGGAGATTGTCCTGGCTTCTGCAGGAACAAATCCAAATATATATGTCCATTTCGATGCAGGAGACTCTGACTAGACCTGCAGGAGACGGAAGCTGGCTCTCCATGGGGCAGGGAGACTGGGGTCTGGGTCATCACAACATCACCAGTAGATCCTAAAATTATAATAAATTAGAAGTGCAAGGTTGTATGTGAACATTGAGACTTTCCATCACTTTCTCATAATGAATTATAATTTCCATGGCTTTGATTATTTTCTAAAACAATTTATATTTTTTAAATATAGAGATTGCCCAGCGCTGAGCTGAGAGCTGAGGATTGCCTTTCAAAGCTGGCCTATCCAGAAAAGTTCCTGTGAGACTCTTATCTCCAATTAACGACAGTGGACAAAAAATACACAGATTTTTCAAACATAAATGAGCCTGTAGTTCTGACATATATCACCACTACATATCTGTCAGGGTTGTCAGCAAAGCACAGGACTTTATTCCATCTGGAATGTTTTTCACTGTCACATAACTAAACTTCACCTGCCCCCTACTAGTAGACTAGGTCTGAACTTCTTACCCATGAACAGAACACATATGGAAATCAGTGGACCTATAGGCTCACCTCCATCCCCTTTTCCATCCTGATCTTCCTCTGCCTTTATCTGTAATCCAGAGAATTATTAGACCCATAACCTGAGAACCTTGTTTTTAGCAGTGAAATGAGGAATACTCATCAGTGAAGTTAAGGTCAAGCTGAGCCTTTATCGCAGATTCAGGCTGGAAAGTCCTCCCTAGGGAGCACTATGCAAATTAGCAGGTGGGTGCAGCAGTATCAGAGAAGCAAAGGGGTTGGGGGAAAAATGGCAGTACAGATAGAAGCTGCCAGGAAATAAGGGCACATATACAGATATGAAAGGCATACAGATACCTAACAGTACCAGTTTTGAAACTATTATTCTTCTTTTTTGGGACATAAGCTTGAAATCTGGACTCAAGCTTTCTGGGGAACACATGTGACAACACTCGCATCTATTTGGATTTAGCACATTTTTGAGATAACTTATCATACTTTGTATAGAGTCTGCTCACAGAAGACAATCCTCCTACCTATGTTTTCCACATAATCAGGGTCTCAGGCTTGGATGTGTGAGGCAGGCTAAATTTTTTCCCTGTCTACTGGAATCATAATTCTCTTGATCTCTTTTGACCTAATAGATGGGATTAGAGGTGAGAACCAACATGCACGAAGTTTGAGTGTGTGTTTAAATCCATTTTCCTTCTATATTCATTCATTTTGTAGGAAATGTAAGTTCTTGATCAGTAATGTGACTTGGATTCCCAAGTTTGAACGTGTATCTCTGGTAATTTCAGTATCTTAAATTCTCCAACTTTTTGTAATTATGATGACATAGTCAGATTTGTTTACAAAATAAATGATTATATATGCATATACACACATATATGTGTATATATGTATATGTACACACATATATGTACATATACATATATATGTGTGTGTACATACACACATATATATACACATATATATGTATATACACATATGTGTATATACATATACACATATATCGTTTCTAACATTTGTATACGTATATATAATTTCTGCCTAACTTTTATACTTAAAAAAAGAATAAATTTACTTTTTGAAAAACTAGAGTAAAGCAATAGAGATGGTGAATTAGATCTAGACCTGATATTAATGTATAGATAGCTTATTTAAATTCCTTTGTACAGCTAATATGTGTTTATAAAAAAAAGAAAGAAAGTTTTTTTAAATTTTTGCCACAAAGAATTGAGAACATAAATGTTAACCTGATTTAATAATTACACAATGATTCCTCATATTAAACATTACATGGAACCCCATTAAAATGTATACTCTATGATTTGGGGATATTTACAATTTATCATATTAACTAAATATCATTTCTCTATAAAGAATGAATTTACTTAAAATCATAATTATGTTGTTTCCTTGGATTATATGGTGAGAAATTTTATAATTATGATTTTCTTGTTGCTTAATAGATGTATGGATAAGAAAATGTGGTATATATATATGTACATATATATATATTATATACAATGGGATTCTATGCTTCCATCAGAAAGAATGATACCACTCCATTTGTTAGGAAATGGAAAGGCTTGGAAAACTCATATTAAGTGAAGTAAGCCAGACCCAAAGATATATAGACCCCATGGTTTTCCTTATTTGAAATAATTAGTATACTTCTAGGATATCTTATCAGATGAGCAGAAAAGCCCAGAAGCTATGTACATACGACCGTATAAGATGATGCTAAGTGAAATGAACCCCACGTTATAAATGCAAGAGGTGTTTCTTTGTTGTTGTTGCTTTTAATGTACTATGTGATTTTTTGTTGCCTTTGTAAGTTCTTCCCCCTAATGTATATCCCCTGTTGTCACTGTATTTGATTTTGTTACACTCCATCTTGTATATACATTTGTCTAATTTGGGGATGGGAAGAGGAATAACAAAATGCTGAAACAAGGATACAAGATGACCCATTGCAATAATGACGGCCACAAGACACTATTTTGGAAATGAACTTTACAACTTCGGAGAGGGGGAGGCATGAGGGAGGTGAGGAAGGAAAGGGATAGTGGGAGAACAACAAAGGAGGAGGTAACAATGCTCAACAGAAATGTACTCCTTGCCTTAACTCATGTAACTGTAACCCCTCTGTACAGCATCTTTACAATAAAATAAAAATAAACATTAAAAGAATCTAAAAAAGCTGAATGATCATTTGGCAGATTTTTGTGATTGGCAGAAATGTCAAAATTGATTATAGAGTTGAAAGTAAACATATAAGTTATATATTCATTGAAAGAAAGCAACAGATGAAATATTCACAATAACCAGTTATGGCAACAGCCTAGATGTCCTAAAATAGATGAGTTGTTCCAAATGTGGTACCTATACACAATGGAATTTTACACTGCCATTAGACAGAATGATATTATGTCATTTGTAGGGAAATGGATGGACCTGAGGAAATCATGTTTGGGGAGTTAAACCATGGTCAGAGAGATAATGCACATGTTACCTCTCACATGCGAATGTTAGATGTAAACTAGGTGATAGGTTGTGCTGATTCTAGGCCTTCACACACAGTGGAAACAAAGGAAGACACTCTTGGGAAGGAAAACAAAGGGGCAATGCTTCTGTGATTCTGGTCATATAAATAATACCAAAACAAACTCCAGGAAATTGAAACGAACTTTTCTTTCCTTTTTGTTTGCAAAATTTGTCTTGCTTGTTCCTTTTTTTGTTTTTTAGTGTGCAAACAGGATATGAAAACAGAGACTCATAATGTGGACAAAAGCAGCAGTGGGACTCATTAGATACTATGTTGAAATATACAGCATGAGTATAGACAGGAGAGAAAAATTGGGAGAGAACAAGGAAAGAGTGACATTATCCAAACATAAATGTACTCTTTGCATGAATTGTGAAACAGCAACTTCTCTGTACATCCTTAAAAAGAAAAAAAAATGTAAGAAAGCAAGTAAGTTCAAGAAAGATTAGACAGGGATCATGTACAAACCAGAAAGAAATACAGGTGTGACTGTCACAACTGGACCTTGTACGGGTAGTAGTTACAGGGGAACACATGAAAGCTGCAATGTCAGAAGTGAAGAGGGCAGACACCGGAACTATTATGATGTTCTTGTCCCACCAATTCATTCAAAGTAACTTTAAATGAGAAAGAAAAATTAAGTCACACAAATGAATGGGAGAACCATTGATACACAGGTAATTTATACAAGAATAATGTTCTGAATTCAGAACTTAACATTTCCTACATGGCTTCAGTGATTTGAACAAAGACTTGGGAACTCATATAAAATTTAATCAGTGGAGTAAGAGGGTTAAATCAAAAAGACATCAATAGTAGTGTATACCAGAAAACAAGAGGGAGTTTTTGACTATGGCGTTAGCTAGCTGAATTAAATGAAACTGAATGAAGTCATAGATTAGAAAGAGAGAGAGATTTTATTGGTAATTGACCATTATAATAACATAAACAACAAGAAGAAATCCATGAAACAAATTATGGAAATGCAAGAAGGTCCTATTACTTGTTTTGCCCATGGTGTTGAAATATGGTCACAGGAGTATGGAAGGTTGAAGAAAGATCAAGAATGGTCTTTATTAATATTATTTGGAACATTAATTAGATCCATCTTGGTTATCAACTTATTTCTTGGAGGTGGAAATCAGGTGGACACTAAAAATCAGGAACTTTTTTTTTTTTTTTACAAGAATTGAACAGAAAAAAAGTGGGAAAAGCTGTTCTAATCTTTTCCACATCAGGTTTGTTAAGAACAGTATGGGAGAAGTGAGAGTAGAAGTGACAGAACAGGAAAGAGGAAGTGAACTCACTTGTGCATGAAGCAAACACCACAGTGGGACTAGTTCCCCTGTTGAACATCTTCAGTAGCCGCAGAGACAGTCTCACTGAGAACACTGAGTAGGTTTTTGTAACAGAGTGTATCACTGTGTAAGGAAAATTATCATCATGCTGACAGAAATAATATGCAACGTCCTCAGACTTCACATCATTAATTGTCAGGGTAAAATCTGTTCCATACCCACTGCCACCGAACCGGGATGGGTCTCCAGAAACAACAGTAGAAACACCTTTAATGATGAGCTTGGGGGCTTCTCCTGGCTTTTGTTGGTACCAGTGCATGTCATCATCAATATCTGTGCTGACTTTGCAGTGGATGGTGGCTTTGTGTCCTGCAGCCACAGACAGGAATGCTGGAGACTGAGTGAGTATTGTTTCTGCTCTGCTGTCTGTTTGTGGAAGAAAATAAGAAAGACAAATCAAGTGCATCAAATTTCAGAGCATGAAGAATATCAACCTCTTATGAAAAGGGATTATTTGATGGAGACTCTGAGACTTCATTCCATGAAGTAGAGGAACTGTTTCTCTTACCAGAGATCCAAAGGAGAAGAAGGCTGAGAATGTGAGCCTGTGACCCCATGGTCTTGTATCTGCAATGTGGGTGCAAGTTAGCTTCTCAATTAGCTCACCAACATAGCATATGTGCCTTCAGAGATCCAATATGTATACAGGAGAATATGCAAATAGAATGGTAATGGTGTGGGATAGGAAAGCAGTGTTGAAATGGCAGGTGTGAACGCTTGGAGCATGACCTGAAAAGGGTTTCCTCTTAGGGTCACATGCCCTAGGATGGAAGTATAGCCTCCTGGACCATTAATATGTTCATATTCCTTTGGCTTTTAGGCTACCAGAAAACTTTTATACTGCTATTCAGGTTTAAAAAATCAACAACTCCTTATTTCTGCTATTTTGCCCAAATAACACCCCAGTAACACTTTCATGGAAATAGTCTTGGTATTGTTCTCTGTCCCCGCATAAGGAGCCTCTCCTATCACTTAGAATGGAAACTATGTCACAAAGTGGCAACTTTCAACTTCACAATTGGTTCACTAATTTTTCAGCTTTGCTTTCAGTTGAAATTAACAACCATCAAATTATAGTCCAATTCTCTCAGACTAGTTTCATAAAACTTTCATTTTATCTACAGTGAAGTAATGACTTCCTAATGTATCCTGGTAAAATTATCTAAAGGAACGTTCTTTACCTAAGAGAAACACCCAATTTAATAACCAATATCCATTACTTATTATGTGTAACTGGAAACCATAGTTGATCATACATTTTGGGGAAAAGGTGACTGACAATTAGATTAATGTGATCACAATCACAATAGAACAACGTGTGTGTGTGTGTGTGTGTGTGTGTGTGTGTGTGTGTGTGTGGTTTTGTGTGTCCTGGGGTTTGAAGTCAGGGATTGGGATATATCTCTGAGCTGTTCATGACTAATACTCTTAAGCACTAGAGCTACAGCCCCACTTCTGGCTTTAAAAATTATATTCTTTTTTAGTATGTTTTTATTGTAAAAATACTGTACAGAGGGGTTACAGTTACATGAGTAAGGTAATGATTACATTTCCTATCGAGTATTATTGCCTCCTCCTTTGTTTTTCCCCTATCTTTCTTTCCTTCCTCACCTCCCCAACTATTCCCCTCCCCCACTGAAGTTGTAAAGTTCATTTTCAACGTAATGTCTTGTACATCTCATTGTTACAGTGGGTCAACCTGTATCCCTATTTAAGCATTAAAAATTACATTCTTACTGTCATCATCACTATTATTATTCCTGTTGTTGGAGATAAGAGTGTTAAGAGGGCTTTCCTGCTAGGCCTGGCTTTGAACTGTAATTCTCCTATCTTAGCCTCTTAGGTCTCTGGGATCACAGGCATGAACCACTGGCACCTGGCCAACAACACTATATTTAATAAAAAAAAAATTTCTAAGATCCTTCTCTAAGAAAAGTGAACAAAAATTCTAAAGAATGCACACATGCACAGACATACTCATATTAAAAAAATTATAAAGCAAGCTCATAGGTAGTTTGGGAGTAGAAATTCTAAATTAATTGCCATATATAATACATGATACACGTGAACATTCTTGAGGCAAAATTTCTCTAAAACTTCATCTATTAATATCCAGAAAATGCCAGAAAGCAGACATGGCTCACAAAGTAGAGCATTAATGGTGCTCATTATTGGCAGGCAAGCTGAGCAATCATGTATGGCCATGACACCAAACACAGTACCAGCACAGAAAAAAAAAAGAATCTAAATGCCACCAAAAATATCATTAATGTAAAATATATATATTTAATCCACATCAAAATAAAATATTAAGGATTTCAAAAGACCTACTAGCTAAGCCTAATGATAAATTATAGAGTAGAATACATGTTTGGAAATCATATATTCAACACAGGACTCCTATGTGTCCTTATGAGAAAGAATATTCAATGAACATTTGATCAAGGCATGATAGTTTATATCTATACATACAATATATAGATATAAATATTGATATAGTTAGATATCGAGACACATTGGTGAGGAAAGAGGATCTCTTTTTTTCCCCCGCAAATCTGATCTACATGGAGAGTTCAAGGCTGTACTGGAGTACACAGCAAGACATATCTCAATAACCTAAGTAAACAACAATCCAGGCTAACAAAGAATAAAGAAGCATGTTACCACCACTACCAACAACAAATACAATCATCTTTATATCAAGAGTAAAAGACAAGACACATAATTTGTAAAAGTAGACATATAAAATATGTACGTATATAAAAGACATTCAATATCCTTAGATGTTAGAGAAATGTACATAAAAGCCACATAAGCTTTAACAGATAGTAAATAAAATTAAAAATATAATAACAACATCAAATATGCTAAGCATGGTGGGGAACTGAATAGTCATACATTGCTTCATAAGATAGAATAATGCTAACATGAACTTGGATAGTGCCTTTTGACTTTAAATTTGTATTGGAAAACATTTCAAAAGATAAAATCTTGGCATCTATTCCAGAAGAAAACATTGGGACTTTATGCAGAAATTTGTAAAGAAATGTTGTTAAAAGTTTTACCAGTAGTAGCTAAAATTAAGAAACTATCCAACAATTCCTTACTAACAAAAAATCAAAGTAAATGTGTTTCTTGACACATGAAATATTACTCAATAAAAAAAAGCAGGAGCTAAACTGTTGATATTTATGGTCTCGATGAACCTTAGGGAAGCTGAACTGAATAATATAGCAAAACACAAAATAAGGCATATTCCATTCTTTTCCTGATGTGATAGCCAAGCCTGAGGGATTGGGAAGAGGAAACACTGTAGCTCAGGGACAGCACAGGGAGTCTGTGGTGTTGGAAAAGCATTGTTCCTCCAGGATGATGTTGATAATAGGGAAACACATATATGCGTTACGTACATTCTCAATATACATACATAACTGTGAACTGCACATGTGATAAGCACACATAGAGCCACCCGATGCACACACATCCTGCACATGCACAAGCAACAAGTATGCAAGAATAACTGGTGACCACCATTGCTGTATGGATGATGTCAATGGCAATTGCCTGATTTACATAATTCAACACAGTAATAGAAGATGCAGTGTGGAGAATGGATGTAGAAAACCTCCTACTCATTTTCTTTGTAACTTTCTGTGGGTCTATAAATATTTGAAAATAAACACTAATAACTCATCATTGTTTTCTCACTTGAAAACTCTGAAAAAGTGACTGGCAATTTCTCAAATAGTTGGCAAAAATCCAAAAGAAGTTTTCTATCTCCCTCTAGTGGTGGTATTTTAAGAGAAAATTCTGAATACCTGAATATATATATATATATATATATATATATATATATATATATATATATTCTTTAAGGAGCTTAAGGATTTGCCATACAAGGGAGCAGTTTATAAATACAGTGCTTCTTGATCAATTTTGCCTTTTTAAAATTCTCACTCACCCTTCCCTGTCCAGCCCTCCCATCACTTTTCTTAAATTTTAGTATACATATTGATATTTTTGGCATTTTAGAGATTGAGTTATGTATACAATGCGCCATGATCTGTGTCATCCCTTTAACATCCTCATACCCCTTCAACCCACCTTTCCCTTCTTTTTTTTCAATTCTGTGGTATACACAATGTATTCTTGCCTATATTAGATTCCCTTCCATCATTCATTCCTCTATCTCTCTTCTTCCCCCTCTGTCTTGCAAGTACCAGTTAACTGGTACTTTTTAAATTACATGTTTCAATATCTGACAATCTACATTTATATCCATAGAAATTCACTAGCCATACAACAGACAAGGGTCTCATATCTAAAATATACCTGGAACTCAAAAAAATTAAATCCCCCAACAACAAATCCCCAAAGAAACAACTGCCCAATAAATAAGTGGGCTAAAGTCTTAAAGAGAAACTTCTCTGAAGAGGAAAGAAGGATGGCCAATAGACACATGAAGAAATGCTCAACCTCCCTAGCCATAAAAAAAATACAAATCAAAAGGACATTGAGATACCACCTCACTCCAGTTAGAATGGCTAAAATCAAGAATTCTAATAACAAGAGATGCTGGAGGTGCTGTGGACAGAAGGGAACCTTACTTCATTGTTGGTGGGAGTGTAAACTTGTTCAACCACTTTGGAGAGCAGTATGGAGGATCCTCAAAAGACTTCACATAGAGCTCCCCTATGACCCAGCAATCCCACTTTTGGGCATTTACCCAAATGTTTACAAACAAGACCACACTAAAGCTACCAGCAGGACTATGTTTATTGCAGCATTATTTACTATAGCTAAGACATGGAACCAACCCAGATGCCCCTCAGTAGATAAATGGATCAAGAAAATGTGGTATATAAACACAATGGAATTCTATGCCTCCATCAGAAAGAATGACATTGCCCCATTTTTTAGGAAATAGAAAGACTTGGAAAAAATTATATTAAGTGAAGTAAGCCAAGCCCAAAGAAACATAGGTCCCATGGTTTCCCTTATTTGCAATATCTACTATATGTATGAGTCAAGCAGAAAGGGTCAGATAATGTGATGTTAGGAAAATGAACCCTTAGATATGTATTTTAATGCTTTTTTCTTTCATGCATTTGTTTCTAATGCATTTATAAGATTATTTCTTTGTTGCTTTGTATGTCCCTCCCCCACAGTATAACCCCTACTTTCACTATATTTGATGTTGGTATAATTTGTGGAAGACATGGGGAAAAACAAATCGTTTAGGTATACAGGTGGACCTGTTGCAACAATGAGAAGTACAAGTTGTCATGTCTAAAACAAACTTTACAAATTTGGTGTGTGGGGGGGAGGAATAGGTGGAGGGGCAGGGGGGAGGCTGGGAAGGGATGTGAAGGGTAAACAAAGGAGGAGGCTGCAATGCTTGATAAGAAATGTACTCATTATCTTGCCCATGTAATTGTAACCCCTCTGTACAGTATGTTCACAAAAAATAAAAATTAAAATTAAAAAAATTAAAATCTATATTCAATGTAACAATTTTTGTATCCACTAATATCCTGTCATTCTTCCACACTATATTTCTATAGCAAATTAATCTAATAATTCTTTTAAATTTTCTCTTTGG